GAACTGTTTAATCAAACATTCCAAACGAAAGATCTAAAAGATTCAACTCAAAAGAATGATACATTCATCACATTGCTAGAATTTCAGTCAAAAAGAACTTTAATTTTGGTTTGTTCCCTTGTGTCACGGTTCATGGGTCTGTGTAATAAGGTGATTACATGTGTTTTAACGTTCGCTTTGGATAAAAGCGTCTGCTAAATTACTAAATGTAAATGTAGTAATTACTGTAGTATTATGAGTCTTAACTACTTTTATGATACTTTTAGGGTGCTTTTTGTCATTATGAAGCTTGACAGCCCTCATTCACTTTCATTATATTGAGCAGGAGATTCCTTGGAAATTTCCTGTTTTTGTTCCACAGAAAAATAGTGATACGAGTTTAGAAGGACATGAAGGTGAGTAAATAGGACTTTCATTTTTGTGTGAGCTATTCTTTTAGTCTTCATTATATCAGTGTGCTTTGTTTTAGCCATAGTTCCCCTGACTTAGAACATCCTCTTTACAACAATAGGAACTGTTCAAAACATCAGCACAATCAAATCAGTCAAAGGACATTGCAAATATTTAGCAAAGGTTGGCACAAATATGTGTTTTGAGTATTTGTGTGAGCAATAGCGTGGGAATTATGGGAGGAATGTGAAGGCCATGACCAACAGCATATCACAGGAAACTCACAGAGCGCATCCGGCGAGGACAAGAAGGGTAACAAAACAGCAACTTTTAAAAAGTATCTAAAAAAGATAATAACATCTGTGCCTTTCAAAAATGGTCCACTAATCACCAGTGTCAAATTATTCGGTTGAACTAAACAGACAAAAGCATGTCAAGACTCTTACATATAAAAACAGCTCAAATGTAAATGAGAAAATAATCTGTCAGTCTCTTAGAAATGTGCCAAATCCAAATCATAGCAATTAAAAAACAGTTATATAAAGAAGATATACTGAGTATTAACTCAGGGCTTATCTCAAACAAACACATGACAAGTATATGGAGAAATGACAAGCATGTGGTTCCTGATAATACACTGTTTGTTTTTGCATAATTGTGGTACCATTCGTTTGAAGGTATGCAGAATACGTACCTCCTAACCTTTTATAGATCTATTCACATTCCTCAATGCTGGTTTGCGCAAGATTTGTCAGAGATGAGATAGAAGCCAGCTCACACTGGGATTATTGTTATGCATTGCAACAAATCTTCACTTTCTTATTCCAACAGGCAGTTTGATCGTGGGGTTTCAAGCAAATTTAAAACAGGTGAACTACTTGACATTATTTAGGGAGTCATTCCAGTAAATGCAGATCCAGGAGCAGAAGTTCTATGCTTTTATTAGGGGTAGCTTGGGTTTTCCATGCTGCTGTGCCTCGACTCTGCCAATAATTATCTTTCCAGCTGGAAACTCTGCACTGCCGGGTTACCTGCACTTCTACTTGATGTAGTTGGAGTTGTCTAATAAAGACTTCCTTTCACTCGCAATTGGATCTTGTGTTTCTGTTTCATGACACCTTGCACAATGTCTTGCAAGACTTCCTAAGTCTTAATAACATAATGAGTATTAGTAATATTTAGTATTGCAGTAATTATGAATGGAAAGGGGCCTGGGTACAAGCCATACCGGGTGAATCAAAGAAGCTTGAGCAATTTTTGAGAAAGAAAGCTCTTTTTAAGGTCTGAGGTCATGCCTTCTTTTCAAATAGACAAAAAACTGAAAGGACTTGCCTTAAAATGTATGCATGCAGCAAAGAAACTGTTTCAGCATGGAAAAGACTCAAAACTTAATTTATGGTGGCAACGATGAAGAAAAAATGAGCATCAGGTGCATCACTGCTCCCAATCAATGATTCATTTTCACACTCAAACACTCCCGTTGTGAATCTGGATGGGGTTGCTGATAATAAGACTGACAGTTTGACAGTGACTGAAGGATAACTGGAATTTGTAGGTCAGGTAAATGAACAATGCGGATTTGCAGAAGTGTAACAAAAGTGCATAGTCTAACACAGTTAATTCCTCTGGGCAGGTTTCAGCAATGTTCCAGGATTTAAAGGATAAGGATCACTCATCCGAGAACTGTAAGCGGGTGGCTAAAAAAAGACCTTTTATGTTAATCTAGAACATCACTGTGCATGTGCCACTCATAATGTCTTTATAATGATTTTACCTCAGCAGTTAAATCGCACTTCGCAGATTCAGAGGTGCACATCAATCAATCAAACAAGGTTTAAATGCCACAGAAGCTTCATTATAAATGAGTTTTAAGCAAATTAAAAAAAAAATCCAATTGCTTTTAAAGCTGAAGTGCAATATATATAACACTAGGAGCAAATGCAAAAATAAGGACTGCATCTAAAATTGCATACTCTTTAAGTAGGTACTTCTTTTGAATAAGAAATTACTTTACGCCGGTCAAAAAAAGATTGTATAGTATGAATGCATATGTAATCTGGACATACTACATTTGTAGAAAACTGTCCATTTTTTGGTTGCGTACTTCAGAATCACCAGAAGTAGGTCATCATTCAGGTGCTTTTCACCTACTGCTTTATGGATACTATATAGTAGGGAAATATGCATATTCATGTGCGGCCAAGGACTGTTTTCAAACTTGTTTCCTGAACTCTGTCCCAGTCTTCTATTGGTTAAACAAACAGATAGTCTGGCCCCAAACTCACACCAGTGGTTGGACCAATGTTGCTGTGTGTCGAGCTGGTCATGGATGCATGTAAAACAGAGTTTTCAGAGTTTAGGCAGAACTTTGGCACCAGTTTCAGACTTTACACATCAACGACAGGACATAAAGGATATACAGTAGAATGTCTTCGATATATAAAAGCTGCCTGAATGCTTAGACTAGCACATCATAAACATGAAGTGCCTTTGCATTGCAGGAGATAAAACAGAACCAGCCTGTGGTGTATCCTGTCTCATTGATGCATGCTGTCTGCATTACCAAATGTCTTCTCATATAAAAACATTTTCCTTCATGCTCTACTGAGATTTAAGGTCCACCGTAATACATTCCCCGCTCCTTATTTGTTGGGCCTTAAAGGACAGGTATCCATAGCAACCCCGCAACATTCCAACAACGTCTGGCCCCTGGCCTGTCACAACACCTGCCCGAGAGCAAGCATTCACACACTTTAAAGACTGAGGTAGAAGAAAACGTTGATAAACCGAGAATTCTGATAAATTCCCACTGCACGGATCACTTCACTGTTTTTGTACGAAGCCTTATGAAAGCAAACGAGAAGCTTTTCTCTTTGTTGACATACATTATGCTTTGACATTAGCAACAGCATATTTCCAGGAGTCCCACATGGTTCTCATTAACATTCCAAGTGCTCTCTTACTCTCTTCTTCTCTTCTTCTCTTCCTCTCTCTTTTCCCACTCTCTTTTGTCTCCTGAGGAGGCCAAAAAGGAAAACTGACAGCGTTGGCTGTGGACCATGCATTCCATGGGATGTGTCAAAACCATTCTCAGAAGAGCACAGAAGGCCCACATAGGGGCACTTAGACACACACACACACACATATACTTACATATGATGGGTTTCCATGTTTTATGTGGACATTCTATAGAGGTAATGGTTTTTATATGGTACAAACGGTATTTTCTATTCCTTAACCCTACCGCTACACCTACCACTCACACAAAAGGTTCTGCATTTTTAGATTTTCAAAAAGATCATTCTGTATGATTTAAAAGCTCGTTTCCTCTTGGGTACCAAAAAATGTCCCCACAAGGTCAAAATTTACTGGTGTCCTTGTGGGGACATTTGGTCCCCATAACCTAGGTAATACCAGGTACACACAAAAACACACTTGCGCATATAGAAGAAAGTGATGAATACATGGGTCTTTAATAAAAGTGGGAGCACGTTTTCCATGTTTGCTAGGCAGAAATAGAAATCTATTCATCTATTCTTGAGCCATTGTTTCATATCTGGAGGTTATCACACGCATGTTGACATTCCAGAACAATACGTCCACATTGCATATTTCATCAAAATCCGGGTTTCATTATTATCTAGACCAAGTGTCTTCAACCAAGGCCGATGGACCCCTTGGTGGATAGTAGGGACCTCTATAGACCTTGGTGACTTATTTAATTTTTGTCACCAATGAAATCAAGACTGTGAGGGACTTGAGTACAGTGTGTGTTCAATGTATTGTACTTTGTGTAATGATATGCCAAATGTTCAGCTGACCAAACATCTTTCCAAAAAACTCCATGTACCAAGTTTGAAAGGTGTGAGTTTTAAAAATTATATGTGATCTAGAATCTTCACACCGTGCATTCCATTGTCTAGAATGTTACGGCACAGTATACTCACCAGCAAAGTTCTATTCTGTACTGTAATTGCCATTGACCAATGGTAGTTTGAAGGTGTTTACCAGCCAAAATGAACTTTTACTGAAAGTTTTGCTGTATTTAATATTATAACTCCCAAAACCAACTCCAAGCAAACTTTGTTTTAGCCTGATTTTGTTCAAAATCATATCACACCAGTTCATTCTTTCATTTTAAGTATATAGTGGCTTCAAGTCTTCCTAACAGCCTCATATTCATCTGTGTAAAATTCAGTACGGTGTTTTGTATACCCTGTTTAAGGTCTATAATAACATCCGTCTAATACCATTGATGTACACATACTTACATTTTTATTGTATTTAATAATTTATTATGGGAGGAACAATTAATCATTTAGATGAACATTAGCTTCTGGGTGAAGTTATCTTAATGTATTTTGTATTGTATATCTTGTATTTTCTCCAAATATTAGTTTGAAATAAAACAATAATTGGTGGAAACCCTGTAGTAGCAACAACCTTTTGTGATCTATAGACTATAAAAAAATTAAAATAACCTGTGAAATTTTTATTCACATTGTTGAATCTGTATGCTCTATTAGTCCAACTAACACTGAGGAGGAACCTTATACTGAGATTTGATGTTTGGGCTCAGCAGAGATGAACCAGTGGACTCAATGGAAATAGCCTTGAGACTCAGAAAGAGGATGTGAAATGTTGTGGAAAGCCCACTGCAAGATCCCATCTATTGAGCTCTGCATTCATTGAGACAAATATACTGTTAGGCATCTCACCTGTGGCTTCATGCATACACAGTTTCCATTGCTCCCATTTGCATTTATTAATTTATTTGTATACTATTGAAAAACGTGACCTCACCTCCACCATTATAGAGTCCATTTCATCTCTGTTGAGCAGTTGCTCTGATGGCGTTAAGCCCTGATCAGTCATGTGTTGACTCACCTGTGGGAATAAACCAGACTAATAACATCTGTGAGGTCAGCCGGTCCTAAAGTGTTGTTTTAGTGTATATGGATTACCTGAAGACATTTCGATGATATTTCACTTTCAGGGCCCCAACACCTGGAGCAATTTCTACATCTTGACTTTCCACTGAAAAGTCAAATAGGGGAAGAGAGAAGGAGTGACTGAGATTCAAAGCATGATAGAACTCACAGTTATTCTATTATAAATAACATCAGTACTTTGAAAAGTTGCAGAGGGCATGATAACTCTGCAGGCACTGTGGGCAGGTGATCAGTTCTCCTCGGGTAAGGTGGCAAATTCCACAAGCCATCCTCATCCCAACCATTTCACCATCTGAAGACTGACAGAGATTAAAAATATAAATAGCTGAGTATAACCACAATCCTGCCACTTGTCAGTCAGAGATATGCATGATTTAAACAATGACATGAGGGTGTGCAAATAAGATTTTACATCTTCTTTTTTTCGATTAATTATTTCTCCACACACAGTAAAGGCACGTTCATACCAAAAACTATAATGATAACGGTATTAGCATCCACACCAATGCACAATAACATTCTGTTTAGTGTGCTGCAGTTTTGTCATCTGCTGCTGTAAAGGCTTGAGCTCTTTAAAGTCGTGAAGATTCTGATTGACTGTCAATGTTTTTAATTATTCATCAATTGGAAAAAAAAAATGAAAGTAATTCCAGTGAGACTGTTTTTCTGTGTCATTATCATTATATTTGTGGTGTGGAGTTTATTATTCTCATAGAGGCATGTTCAGACAAAGAACAATAACTATAAAGATAACTATAACAACTATATCAGCATCCCCACCAATGTATGGTAACATTCAGTTAATTATAAGCACACTGCAGTAATGTCGTCTACTGCTTTAAATGCTTGAGCTGTTTAATGTCGGGTGGATTCTTATTGGCTGTCGATGTTTTTATCACAGGTGGAAAGAGTACGAAAATATTCTACTCAAGTAAAAGTACCATGGACAATGAATCATTAAGCTGAACATGAACTTCTGGGTGAAGTTAGCTTAATGTATTTTGTATTGTATATATTGTGTTTTTTCACAAATATTAGTTTGAAATAAAACAATAATTTGTGGAAACCCTGTAATAGCAACAACCTATCGAGATCTATAGAAAATAAAAATATCTAATACAAATAAAAAAATAACCTGTGAAATGGATAATCAAATACATTCATTTTCTTCACTTTATTGAATCTGTATGTTCTATTATTTACATCAGTCCAACTAACACTGAGGAGGAACCTTATACTGAGATTTGATGTTTGGGCTCAGCAGAGATGAACCAGTGGACTCAATGGAAATAGCCTTGAGACTCAGAAAGAGGATGTGAAATGTTGTGGAAAGCCCACTGCAAGATCCCATCTATTGAGCTCTGCATTCATTGAGACAAATATACTGTTAGGCATCTCACCTGTGGCTTCATGCATACACAGTTTCCATTGCTCCCATTTGCATTTATTAATTTATTTGTATACTATTGAAAAACGTGACCTCACCTCCACCATTATAGAGTCCATTTCATCTCTGTTGAGCAGTTGCTCTGATGGCGTTAAGCCCTGATCAGTCATGTGTTGACTCACCTGTGGGAATAAACCAGACTAATAACATCTGTGAGGTCAGCCGGTCCTAAAGTGTTGTTTTAGTGTATATGGATTACCTGAAGACATTTCGATGATATTTCACTTTCAGGGCCCCAACACCTGGAGCAATTTCTACATCTTGACTTTCCACTGAAAAGTCAAATAGGGGAAGAGAGAAGGAGTGACTGAGATTCAAAGCATGATAGAACTCACAGTTATTCTATTATAAATAACATCAGTACTTTGAAAAGTTGCAGAGGGCATGATAACTCTGCAGGCACTGTGGGCAGGTGATCAGTTCTCCTCGGGTAAGGTGGCAAATTCCACAAGCCATCCTCATCCCAACCATTTCACCATCTGAAGACTGACAGAGATTAAAAATATAAATAGCTGAGTATAACCACAATCCTGCCACTTGTCAGTCAGAGATATGCATGATTTAAACAATGACATGAGGGTGTGCAAATAAGATTTTACATCTTCTTTTTTTCGATTAATTATTTCTCCACACACAGTAAAGGCACGTTCATACCAAAAACTATAATGATAACGGTATTAGCATCCACACCAATGCACAATAACATTCTGTTTAGTGTGCTGCAGTTTTGTCATCTGCTGCTGTAAAGGCTTGAGCTCTTTAAAGTCGTGAAGATTCTGATTGACTGTCAATGTTTTTAATTATTCATCAATTGGAAAAAAAAAATGAAAGTAATTCCAGTGAGACTGTTTTTCTGTGTCATTATCATTATATTTGTGGTGTGGAGTTTATTATTCTCATATCAGACAAAGCAGACAAAGAACAATAACTATAAAGATAACTATAACAACTATATCAGCATCCCCACCAATCATTCAGTTAATTCAGTTAATTATAAGCACACTGCAGTAATGTCGTCTACTGCTTTAAATGCTTGAGCTGTTTAATGTCGGGTGGATTCTTATTGGCTGTCGATGTTTTTATCACAGGTGGAAAGAGTACGAAAATATTCTACTCAAGTAAAAGTACCATTACATTAATTAAATTTTACTTAAGTACAAGTAAAAGTACCAGTATAAAAATCTACTCAAGTAAAAGTAAAAAGTAGCTCATTTAAAATGTACTCAGAGTAAAAATTACTTAGTTACATTTTAACAGTGGGAGGGAGGCAAAAATGGGATAGGCCTATAATTCTCAAACTAGTTGTTTTCAATTAAAGGAATCAGTTATTTAGAATAATAAGACATTTGGGCTGTTACCAGGCAAATTAAATCAGTATCAACAAAATTCATCTTTGCAATGCAGAGGAAACACAGAAGCTTCATCGGAAGTGGCATTTAGATTACACACTGTTTAATGCAGGACATTAATTCATTTAACCTGCAGTTACAAATGCAGAAATAATGTTTTGATATATAAGACATAAAATGTTGAATACTCATTTGAAATTATATATATTAAAAAAAAATCAAGATACTTTACATGTGAAATTAAAACCGCCAGTAGGTGTCAGCAAATCACTGTTAATATGTGAGTCATTGCGATTGAACCATTTAATTGAATCATTTAAACTGTTGATTCATTCAGGAACAAAACACCGTCATGTTGCTCAGAGACGCAAAACTGTGCTGTGTTTGGAATTATTTTTGTTGTGGAAATAGAGCAAAAACAGGCGATGTGATGTCTAAAACGCAAGTCTCTTAATTAACTTCTTGTTTATTGAACTGTTGTAAAGAAATCTATATGTCATCATGCTGATTTTTGGAGAAAAAACGGCACTCTTCGTTTAATATTGATTTACTATATGAAATGATATATATATACATTTTCTGCCCCTATATCTTCCATTTTGTGATCATCAGTGTTGGGGAAAGTTACTTTTAAAAGTAATGCATTACAATATTGCGTTACTCCATAAAAAAGTAACTAATTACGTTACTTAGTTACTTTTTTTGGAAAGTAATGCGTTACTTTACTAGTTACTTGAAGAAAGTAATCTGATTACGTAACTCGCGTTACTTGTAATGCGTTACCCCCAACACTGGTGATCATTCTAAATGCATTTTAACAGACTGAATCGCGCAGTGAAAGAATGCACTCTAAATGCGCGCGCACTAGTCTAATCTAACGTTACTAGACTTCACGGCACTCTGTAGGAGTGTTTTGTTTGGTTTTTGGCAAAATACTGATAGTCAAATCGCACATCGTTAAAACAACAATTACGATATTATCGCAGACGATATATATTGCACACCCTGCACCACTGTCTTTTTGGCTAATTTGTGCAAAACCTTTTGCTAAACTGTCAACGCTTCATTTTAACCACCGATGCAACGATGCAAGTATTTACCTTACCTATGCATACTTGCAAAGGGTTGATGTCAAGATTTTAAGCTGCTAGTTTCCTAGGCAAACAGTTTACACTGCATAATAGAGCTTAAATATGGCCAGGGGTTCACTTCATTTCCTTCGAGTTCAACTTCAGCAGAATACGACGGGGTTTCGTTTTCTGTTGGGTCTGCGCCATAACGCCTAGTCTTGTCGGTCTGCATCTTTCTTGTGATTTTAGCGCCAGTTTGCTCTCCTGCCCGTTATTTACTGCAGTCGTTTCCAGGGAGCGATTTTTTTTTTTACTCAGTAATTAATGTGTTTTAAAATGTAGCGAAGTACAATACTTAAAACAAAATATACTTAAGTAAAAGTAAAATTACAGATTTTAAAAATTACTTTAAAAAGTAGAAGTACACAAAAAAACTACTCAATTACAGTGGTGACCGTGATTTCACCAAGTACAACATGTTCCTGGATCAACATCCTTGTTGATCCTGGAACAACATTCCAATTAACCAATCAGAATTGAGGGATAACTTTTCAGGAAATATCTGTTTTAGGCTTAAGATCAGGGTTAGGTGCTTCTACACCCTTGTTAATGAGATATCATTTCACACTGATTTTAGTAATGAATTATGGGTAGGGTTAGGTTTAGGGGTAGGGATTGGGTTTAGTCTATATTTTTGGACAGTAATGTTGATCCAGGATCAACAAAAGATGTTGATCCAGGAACATGTCTTACTTGGCAAAAATCACGGCGACCCAATTACAGTAACGCGAGTAAATGTAGTTTGTTACTTTCCACCTCTGGTTTTTATTGTTCATCAGCTGTATAAAAATCCTTCTGAAAGTGATTCCAATGATTATTAAAATGTTATAGTTACATTTATTGTTATAGCTTTCATCCTTGGTGTGAACATGCCACTGTGTCTCTCACTGAGTCACATGGAAGTGTTACCTGGAGGCCCATGGGCTGAACACTTTTGCCTCCTGAGACTGTGGAGAGTGAAGTGGAGGACAAAGACGAGAAGAAAGAGAAGTCCACAGCAGAGCTGGAGCTTGTCTCTGTCACTGGAGGGTGAACTGCAGGCTAAAAAAAATCAGAGCAGAGACGTTACTACTGCTATGACTACTAATAATCTCCTATAGTCATGGCAGTTCATATTGTACGCATATGTGTGATCGACTGTAAAGCAACTTCAATTAGT